GTTGAACCAGATAAACACAGAGCAATAACAAATCCCAGGAGTAACTCAAGGTCTTTCTTTTGTAACACAGAAGTACTTTTTGAAATACTATGAGATAATGTCTGTACTACAAGTCTTACTCTTGATGTTAATCAAAAAATAAACACGTTTGGAAATATTACCTTAAAAGTTCAGACAAAACTGAAAAGGGACTGATAGACTGGGTGTGGAGTTTGGTAACAACTGTGCCTGGGGAACAGCAAAAACTACAACAATAAAGACAATCAGGGAAGAACAAAGAATATGGCTGCCATGAAAGAAAAGAAGGACTTGCCTTTAGAAATACTATTAGGGCACATATCTAAAATAATTCTTTAGCGACACACAGGATAAGTATTCTCTTCACATTCAACCTTTTACAATTGCTCTGGAGTAGAACTAGTTCTGGACAGTATAAGTTTTCTGTCATCTAGAATGTCTCTTTATTCTATTCCTCTATTCAACAGTAGACTTGTATAGCAGAAGTCAAGAAGTGTTAAAACTGTGAGAAAGCTCACCAAGATTTTCTCCAACATTTCCTTTATTCTAAATAATTCATCTATGTGACATAAATACGTACCTCTCCAACGTACTCCATCACAAAACTGTTCATTTTAATTTTCTGGAGGGTTTTCACTCCCCAACCACGGCCATTGTTAGTTCTGAAGATGCAAAGAGAATATGGTGTACCTTTCTGTACTATCCTATTAGGGCAGTCAGGCCCACACCTACAGAATGAATTGCATTCATAGATGGGCAAACCAGGCTGGATTTTCAACTTCTTTTGTTTATTGTAAGCTAAAATAAATCCAGCTTCCTTTGGACAGCACTTCTCAGCGGGGCAGTCAGTGCATTCACAGCCAGTTGTTATTCCATTTAGTACATTTATTCCCGGAGCAGGTTTATACTCATTAATGTAGTAGAAGTCTAAAGGAGGGCCTTCAAGATCCACAGTGTTTTCTACCAGAATCATTGCTTTATGATTCTTTTTTCTGTTGAGTTCTTCTTTCCATCTCTGCAGAGCTATTCTTTGCTTAGCCTTCTTTACAACGTAATCTGCAACTGCTGGGTTGAGAGCTTTATAATGGTTTCTCACTTTCAGTGCTTTGTCTTCTCTCACCCGAGACAAATATTCATTCTTGTCATTAAAAAAGTTTTGAAGAAGCAATGGGCATTGCAGATTTTCCTGAGGTTCCCAAGTATTTGAAGATTCTGGCCATCCTTTCCATTTCACAAGATAGTATTGTGTGCCCTTGAAATACAGAAACAGATACAGATTTATCCACAATTCATTTTGCTGAAATCCAGCATCACAGAGTACACAGACAAACCCAAGAGCTCTGAAGTTAAGAAACAGCATACAGTGCAGAAGTTCTTGATATCCCCATAACAATTAGAATTGGGGAGAAAGAGAAAAATCAAGTTTTCTGTGTGCAAATTAACTTATAGCACAACTTTGGATACTTTACACATAATCTCTAGGGGCAAAGAAATAAACAGCTGGGACGAATGCTGTTCGCCAACGGTATACCTGGGGGAGGCTAGTTTGTTAAGGCAGTTACATCAGATATGTTAACTATATGCACAAACAATGTAGTTGTATCATACACAGAACAAAATCATTCTAAACTTAGCAAAAAAATCTCTAAATAATACTATTTGTCGTATCAACCATCCTCCCAAAAGAGTAATCCATTCAAAACACGTAACAGTGTATTTATAAAAAAGAAGCATACATTTAGTACTTATTTTAAAAAGGTCAAATAACTGTAACAAGGCCAAATGCTGAGACTGAATTTCACTTGCACGATCAAGCCATAGGAATCCAGTTACAGCACATGGCCCTAACCCCTCATCAAACAGACTACAACAGTCAAGAGAGAAATATAGACTGTTACCTGCAAATAAAGGGGAAGTATAATACAAGCTACAACCTAAAAGTATCAGCATTTTGCTTTAGTTCTAGATACACAAAGGCAAAATATTTCATTTTCTAGCATCTCTGTAATTTCAGAAAAAGACCTTCCTTCAACATGACGAAAGCAGCAGTTACACCACCTTTTGTTTACAGTTCAAAGTTTAAAATATATTTCATTTGAGGTCAGGAAGAGCTTTGTTCTCACAGCCTGCTACTTTGTATTATGAGCAAAACTACCTTCGGCTCACTTCCGAATTTCAGCTGAAAGAGTGATCAAATTGGTCTGTGTTTCTCTTACCTCTTCTACCTTGCAGTCACACAAATATTCCACCTCATAACTCTTTAGACTCCCGTTGGTGATTCCAATGGATTTACATCTGAGATTTTCCTTCCTACATAATTCTTGGAGGGTCTCAAGTGAAGCTAGACATGGCACATACCACGCTACAATAAGAAAATTGGTAAAGAATCCTATTTAATGTCTCAGCTAAATTGAAATCATTACTCCTTATCCCAGAGTCCCCACATTATCATTTGTTACAGCAGTCCATGAGTCTCTTGTACAACTACAGTGTCTCACAGAGTCAAACTCAAGCCTTTTCTAACAGATAAAGTGAAACATGGAAATTATTCCCTCCCTGCACCTTTATTCTGTACAGTACGCACATTTATAAAGAAAAACATTTTGGAGGGCAGAGACTTCCTCAGGTGAAAGCTGCACTACAAACCGAATCATTTTCCTACAATTCCAGCATCCCGTAACCGAACTACGGCGACGAGGGAACCTCCATTCTTCCATAAGACCGCCAAATATCTGCAGCTAGTCAAGCTGAATCGAGCACTTGCGACGCAACCATGGTGACTGGACGAGGAAAGAAAGATCCACAAGCGCTCTTCCAGAAGGATCGCGGGTGCCTTGTCAGCGAGATGGTTTTAAAGGGCTGCGACACTGCGGCCGGAGCGCCAGCTCC